AAAAGAGAAGGAAAGCCCTACATCTAAGCCCACATCAAACTTTCAAGTTGTCAGTTTACAACTTATTATGTACTAAGAGTGTATATCATACGGCATCTTCTCCCCTGTTAGCAGCTCTTAGCTCTGGACATGCCACGGCGTCTAGAGGACTTAGCCTTGGGAATGCAACAAATGGTATTGAAAACGGCATTGAAATTTGAGTTGGAAGCAAACGGTTGTGAGGTCATGTCACAGCACAGAAAAGCAATGCTGTGCCAACTGCTGATCAAGCTGGCAGACATACGCTGCAGAATCGTGACCACTCGCATGGGCCAGTACAGGAGTTCTAAAAGCAAACTAAAATTCACTGGCTGTAACTTCAAGTAGGGAAAAATGAGTTTTTTTTCCCCTAAACTTGTTAAAGTTGTTACTGTTTTAAAAGGAGAGCTGCATATATAACATAAATTCATACAACTGCAAAGGATATAATGAAGAGTGGTTCTCTCTCCTCTTCTGTCCCCAGACCCCAGTTTCCCTCCCGAAGCAAAAATGTGAACAGTTCCTTGTATATTTGTCAGAGATATCCTCTAAATAACTCACAAAGAGTTGTGAAATATCCTGATGAAAAACATCATATGCAAAATCCTTATTAAACAAAAGAATAATGTACAGCACACATGGCTCTGCACCATTCTTCTTTCCATTAAAACGTATCATAGAAATAATTTTATATCAGTACTCCTACTTCATTCGTTTCAATGGCTGCACGGCATTCTCCAGTATGAGTATATTATAACACACCTTCTTTAACCAGTTACATTTGGTGACTTTTTAGATCATTCTCAGCTTTTTGCTCTTATAAATAGTGCTGCAGCTAGGATCCGTGTCTATATGTTATCAAGCATTTGTGAATATACATATTCCCAGCTCTTCCTATTCAAAGTCCTGATTGATTTTTACTAAGACAAGTTAAGCAGTGGGAAATTAATAACCAACTAACATAGAAGGCAGATACTACTAATAATTGAAAACCATGATTAACTGTGTGGTAAGTATGTTATAAGTAGTTATTTAATTCTTATAATTTTATGGGGAAGATATTATTACTATTATGGTTGTTGTTATTAATTATTTAAGGGTGAAAGCCAGGATTTGAATTCACTCCAGAAGCTTGACTCTGGATCTCTTTGCTCCTTCTAGTTGCTGGACTCTACTGCTTCTCAGGAATTCTGTTGCTACTTGGCAATGATAGAGCATTTATTAGAGACCCACTATGTGCTAAGCAGCCGGCATGTATTATTCACAATCTCCACAAGAGCTACAAGATGTTGCTGTTTAACAGAGTCTTAATGATGTTTAATAACCTGTCCAAAGTCCCAGAGCTAGTAAGTAAGGAGCTAGGGAAGGGGAAGAAGCAGGATGTCCGACTCCTGATACTATGGCACAATGAAAGGGAATTTCAGGCATTTTATTCTTATCTAGCAGGCTGGAAGGCAGAAATAAAATCAGTATACATGAGACTTAAACACAGTCAAGTGATCAGAAAGATAGGAAGGGCTGTCATAGGGCCAATGGGAGACAGTTTGTGGCATACTAATAAAAGCATCTGTAACAGAGAGTTGGGTCTAGTGATCTGTGCAGATCCAAAATGGATCCTTCTCCATAGAGAGTGTTTCCAAATCTAGATGGCTTTGTTCTCACTGACTTTTAAAAATTCCACACCTATGCATTGTATTTATATCATTAACAACCTGTTGTTATGTTTGGCACTTGCATGCCCGAGAGAAACAGAAGCCTTAGGTGACTCTGCTGAGTTGAGCTTTGTGGCCACAGGGAGCAGAAATCAGCAAATGCCCACAATGGACAATCAAAGTAAGGGTGCCAATAAAAGTAAGAGCATTAAAATTTCTCAAAGTGTTTCCAATTTCTCCAGGTCCATTTCTCCTACTTTAATCTCAGTATTTCCAGCAGTGTTACGTCTTTGTAGGTATGCCATAACCAGCCATAACGAAGTTAAAATTGGAGCCCTCTTTAGAAGACCTACCGGCCTTCTAAAATTATAAAAGTCTTGTAGGTTTTATACACATTATAATTTGTAATGATGTCCCATGTATCTGTTGGTTACTATTATTGCTGTTATTATTTCATAAATCAGGTATATACCCTCTAGGCTATATTTCTGTGCATGGTCTCTTGGGTTTAAAATACTGAGTTTTCCTTGTTTCAGAATGCCTCATTGAATTCAGTGAATTTTTGGTAATGTTTCATAGGGAAAAAAGTGATGTAGCATAGACAGACATGTCAGAATTATTTATATGGTAGTTGTAATAAAAATAATAGCTACGCTATATAATGAGTGTTTCCAGCAGGTTAGGAAATATGCAAAGGGTTTTATATGCATATTTATATTATTTGGTTTAATATCAAAACTCTATCAGGTAGTCATAATTATTGTTTCCATATTACAGATAGAGGCTTTTATTCTTCTTTTTGAGATTAACAGTTAGAATGGTGTTTAAGCAAGTTTTTGAAAAAGAAGACAGTGCTTTTTAATACCACAGAACATACTTCCTATTTTGGCATTTCTCCTTCTAGTCTTTGTTCAAATATATTCAGTAACCAATATATGCATGATATTGTGTCTTGCTTTTTTATTCAGTATAGTCATAAGAAATTGGCTTTCTCAGTCTTCCTCCTTCCCATATAATGACTGCATATGATTAATCGCCAAAGCTTATTTACTAATTTCTATCTTTAGGGACATTAAGTTGTTTCCATTTTCTCTTATAGATACTATTTCAGTGAAAAATTTTGCATACATAACATATTTATTTTCTGGGAATTTCCTAGGAAAAAGTCTTTTCTGCAGTCAAAGAATAAAGGTCTTTTTAACTCTTTCTAACTCCCTGAGTTAAAATCATTTTTATGGGAGCTACAGTGAGCATATTTTAAAAGCTTAAGAGAAATGTCTATTTTGAACTCTTTTTAGGAAGGACTCTTTTCAATATTTTAAAGGTATAATTTGGATAAATATATGAGTCATTACTATATGGCAATTAACATAAGGCCTAATGAGTGAATTTTTGCCTTATTTAATTTTCAAAAATAGGTGAATTGGGCTTTGAGAAGGTTGCTGTGTGCAATGTCAGTTTCTATTCTTCATCAACATGTATTTCTTGAGAAACTACTGTGTGCCAGGCCATATGGCACTTGCCAAAGCCATGACAGTAAATGTGATGGAAACAGCTCGTTTCCAAACACAGGGTCACTGAAAGTCATATCAAAGACTCTTTGTCTTTGGTATTGTGCCACAGCACACTCTTCTCCTCTGACATTTACGACTTCTTTGTTCTTTTGCTTTTATGGAATGTGACTCATTTCTTAATATTAGCCGAAGACATAAAGGATAAAGAGACTCTTACCCTCAGGAAGATATCTGGATCCATATATAGTTATAGATGTAAAATTTCTAAGCCCTTCTGAAATCATATTTTTCCCATCCCAAGCCAGTTCTGGTGGGATTTTAGAAACCCCTTTGGATTCCCAGGATGAAAGTATCTTGCTGTGTGGTTTTGGGGATCCCTAAATCATCTTGTCCTCATTGCATATATCTTAAGTTGCCTGTAAACATATTTATACATTTATTTTCTCAGCACTTTAGGCTAAACAGGTATTTTGGGCCCTCTGACTCAGGAACGTCCTCATGTAAAAACAAAATGTAAATTTAGGGTACATCCCATGATTTATTAATACAGTGCACTATACCTACAATTTTCACAGATAGAGATAACCATTTTGGTCCCTTTTGGGAGCCAAATATACAGAATTCTTATGTAAAATCAGCTTTAGAATCACATTTTAACTTTTCATGAAATTTCTCCATCTCAGAAAGACCAACTAATTTGTTGACGAATATAACTACATGTTTATTGTATGGTATTCCTTTTCAATTTCTGCAGTGTGAACTTTTTATTTTGTTGATGCTTGAACATTTCAATGGAGAAAACAACCCTTTAGTAAAAATCGCATCAGTTTAATGGCATACCATGTAGATCAAGCTCTTTGTTGATCCATTGGATATTTCACATTAAAAAATGTTGTATCGTTTTGTAGGAATGTTACTACATATTACCTAATATACATTGAAATTTCAGTAAATTCATTGTCTGTATGTATCGATCAATTGATACACACTTATATATGATTTCAATAGACTGATTTTTCGGAAGGGAAATTTTGTGTTAGGATGTAAAGATGTCTGTCCCCCGACCCAAAATTATGTTATCTTTAACTGATATGCTAAAATTAGTTTCTCAGATTATTCCATATGATTTGAATTTTTATGCAAGGACAAGTTTCAGGAATTGGAATTTATAGAGTAGTCTTCTTGATGACAAAGGAATGGGTGGAGCTAACTTGCTAATGTCGTAATACTGATACTGATACTGTATTGAGCAGGGTTGGCTTAGGCTACCTAGTCGTGATGCTGGCTCCACCGGGTAACAATCTGCTCATAGACATTATCAAGGCAGCACAGAGGTGGAAGAGAGAATACGAAACCATCTGAAAAAGGAATTTTTTTTTTTTTTAAATTTCTCCTTAACTTTCTAATATCCTGAGCCTTCAACCTCGGGGTTGAAGTCCTTCCTATAGCAACTTTGCACATACCCCGACTGTCTGAACTCCAAACCCTAGGAACTACATGTCTGAGATCTGAATGTATTCTTGGTTCCAAATCAATCTTGTCACTCCATGGCAAGCAATGCGAGATAATAAGTAGTATTCACCTGATTGCTTTCCTGCTCCGAGACAGCTGGTGACGCGAGTCTTCCTGATAACCGGGAGTTTCAGATCTGAGGCAGGGCTAAAGGGAAGCTGGGAGCTCTCGGAATCTAAATTTGACAGTCGATGGCTGAGGAGAGGGTCAGAAGGGATAGAATCTGTGACAAGGATGGAAAGGAACAAAATTTATCTGTTCTGGTTGCAATGATTAGATGCCTCTTTGTCTGGCTTTCTTACAGTGGGTGACTGATCGTCCCCGCCAGCTGGCTAATATCATAATTAACAAAAGTTGCTACTACGTCTGCAAAGTTTAATGGAAAAATTTGCCAGTGATACGATGGCATTGTCACAGAGATCACAAGGGACACGGAGCCGACTTTTGCTGAAGGTGGAACGGCAGAGCTGTGTAGACAAGATGAGAAATTGTGAACTTGCTCAGCCAAAGGTATGTTTCTTTCATAATTCCACATCCTGGCTTTTCTTATTAAGATTTTTGTCCGATTTGGTGGGTTCTTTTTTCTTTCGTGACCAAAATGATTTCATAAAATGATATGTATGCTTTTTGAACATTTACAGCATATTCTCTGAAAGCTTTAGTTTTTTTTTTTTTCCTAAATCTACAAATTTGGAAATATAACTAAATAGCTTTTGATGCTGAGAATGGAATGTAAAGCAATATTTTGCCTGTTGTTGTATCTACCTAATCTTTATCAGTTTTCCGGAATAAGTATTTGGTAACAAATATCAATCGCACATTTATATTGTGTAGCATTGGATTTATGCTACTCAACAATGTAAAAGCCGTGGCTATGCTTTTATTCTGTTGTGTCAACCTAATTATAGGAGAGGGGGAAAAAAGCAAGTGTAGGTGTAGAATATGTAGAGGTTCTAGTTTCGTTTCAAGAAGTGCTCAGAGTGGCAGGGAGGGGGGCTAAGGTCTTGACTTAAGTCACACAAAATAATTGGGGCTTTTCTTTTTTTTTTTAGCAACGTTTATAAAGACCAGTGTTTATTGAAATTTTGTGCCATTTTCCAATGCAAGTCTGGCCATAGACTGTTATACTTGTATTTTGTTTGTACTGTGATTTGCTTTGCTTGATTGAATATTTGAGCTCGGAGGAATTTCCCAAATGCTAGCCTTCACATATTGCTAATTAATGACTGTGAATATTGATGAGGGGGTCATGCGCCTCTCTGTATATGCCTCTGCACTTCATGTGAGTACAAAGAGGGAGGAAGAGGACTCTGAAAATATGTCGAAGGCAAGTTTGGGTTATTTATGCTGTGTCACACCACTCCTGTTATACCAAGGTGGTCAATTTGCAGTATAATTGGGGTAAGGTTCTTTTACTTTCTGTCCATGGTCTTCCACACCACTGTATCATGGCAAAATGCAATCATTTGTCTTTTGCCTATTACTATTGTCTTTTGTGTTAACAGCAGTTTTTAAATGTCATGAAATAACATTTTGGAAACAAATTAGTGCACAGCATGTATATTTTTAATAAGCCAATTTAAACTTTCTCATGGTTTTATTGCTAACCATGGGAGACTAGACATTCTCAATATATTGATTTTAATATTTGAACATCAAATTTTATATTTCCAAATAAAAAAATGAATCATTTTATGGGATTGTGAATTTTAAAGCCTTTAAGTGTCCAGATAATTTTAAATACTGTTTATTGAAATTTTTGTTAAAATTTGACTTAACACATTTCTAATCTTCACTAAAATTTAATGACACTGATAAGAACAGCTGAAAGTGGAGGTTTATATCATCATTTTTATTGTATTCTAAACAACATTTTCACAGTAGAATATTATTCTTATAATAGAGACTCTCTTTTCATTTCTTTAACTTTGATTTCTACCCCCAGCCCAATATCTGGCGTATAATAGGCACTCATTATATATTTATCAAGTGAATGATTCAATGAATTTAAGTGTCTCTATAGTTACTATGTGTTTCTATAGTTAAATATGGTTAACATTTGTTTCCTCCAAATCAGTAACTTCTGTATGCAGTAAACATTATGAATAGAAATAACCAGATGAATGGCACAATCACAGAAAATAGGGAGGATTAAGTTCCTGAAATAATATATTGTTGTTTTAACCTAAACCTCCATAATATTTTGTGTAATTGAGATTTGGTATTGTAAGTACTCTGTTGGAGTGTCTAAGGTCTAGGGGGATTAGAAAGGGCCCCGAAAGTGGTTCATAGCTGATGTCCTGTTTTTGTTAAAACAGGATTATCTCCTGAGATGTGTAGAAATGAACTCTTGTCAGAGTTTCAAAGGAATTAATGTTTTTGGTAAAATGTGCTAATGTAAAGAGTTAGGAGATTAGTGATGCAGAATGAAAGCAATGCATTCTTTCGCATGGAAATAGGAATATAATAAATGTCCTGCAGGTAATTGGGGCTGTAGCAATTTTATTGAAGATTAAAGTTTGATTGACCTCTGTTAGGATGATTAACCCTTCTGAAATTAAAAGCCAGAGCTGAATTATTCTGTTTAATTTAAATGCAAACATTGAGCAGGTCCTATGTCATTCAAATAATAATAATAAAAAAGCCTTCCTATTTCAATGCACATTATCTGGGTGATGGACACACTTATAACTTTGACTCAAACTGTACAAAAGCAAATCCTGTAACCAAAATGTTTGTATCCCCCTAATATTCTGAAATTTTAAAAAATTTTCATTATTATACATCTGAATGGTATGCTGCATTGAAAGGATATAGCTCTGGCAAAAGAATATAGAATAATGTATAGATAACTGGGAGCACATAAGAAGAGTCCCAGGCACCACTCCTCCCCCTTTAAAACATCAAAACCACCACCCCAACAAAAGCAGAGAGCATGGAACAAATCTCCACACATGGAAAATGCATGCCCCCGGTAAAAAAAAATAAACAACAACCTAGGAATGTCCTGAATAAATAACAATGACATCTCTGTTCCAATCCAGTGCCAACTACCTAAACTGCATATCATATTCATGTTACCTCTATACAATTACTGCTGAAAGTCTGTGCTTTTTGTTTCAGTTGCTTAGGAAGCAGTTCCTAAAAGTTGATTATTTCTGATGCCTGAAATTTCATTCCTCATGATCCCTGAGAGTCTCTACATATAGTCAGTATTTTCATTTAGTTAAAAAAAAAAAAGGGTATAGGAGAAGCAAACTCGTTATTCGCAATGCCATTTAATGGTTTAGTTTTATTTTTCCTTGTTAAATTTTCTAAGTTTTCATGCAAAGTTGTATGTTCACATTGTTTCAAAAAACTGTTTCCATTTTTCGTGACATATGATATTTTTTGATACTAAGTCAGTGAATATTTTTAGTTTTAGGTCCCACCACGTAGTGAATGTGTCTTCCTTTTATGTGTCTGTGAACTATTAAAATGATAATAAAGGCTCTCTTCCTTCCCTACGTAATTTATTTTTCTCTCTTTTCATCAAAGAACTCACTCTGAATGTGGCAAGGTAGAAAATTCTAAGGCATTATAGTGTAAAAATTAAGAAGCCTGAGGTGCTATAGTTTATTTTTGCACGAGCTTTTCATGTATTTTTTTTAACATCCTTCTGAAAGATAGGGTTCTACTCCAGGCCCATGAAAAACGTCAAGGATGAAAAACCTGTGATAGAATGACTGGGATTATTCAACTGGCAAAGTGACTCTGGCATCCTCCAGAGAGTTAGATAATACCTTGAAGCATAGATTAATAATATGTTTAACTAAGATCTGTTTGCTGTAAGGATAATTTCCTAATTCTTAATTGTGGGACACATATTCAACCGTGAATTGTAAACAAATACGTTGTTCTGTACCTTGTCTGATAAACTGTAGCTTATCAGCTTTAGCTTTAGTAGAATTGTCAAACTTTAAAAAAATTCAATTGTTTTATGATAATACTTGTTTTTCTCTTAAAGATAATTTTTAATAAAAGAAAAACATGACCACTAAATTATATCCCTAAAATAAGCACTGTTAATTCCTTGGACAAAATTCAATAATCTTCTCTAATTTAGATTAATCTTGTTTTACCTCTTACCAGAACTAAATTAAAATAATTTTCAGTATTATAACTTCTTGTAAACACAACAATACTCTCTACAGCATAAAAAAGCTAATGTGCTGAACTACTTACTGATAATAACATCCTTCTTTGTAGTGTCATTAATTATCAGTGATCTTTTTAATAAATAGAAAATTATGGCTTAGAAAGGTAAAATTCATATTGTCTTAGTGTAGAAAAAAGTATTGGTGAAAGAGCAAAGGAAAATATGTTTATATTTTGCTAAATCCCAAATCTAATCATTTGTTTTGCTTCAGTGTGTTTGAAGACATTTTTATTTCTTTATGTTGCCTTTGTTTTCTGACTATCGGTTCCCTTCTAATCCACCCACTCCCAGACCTGATATTTTCTCTTATAGTTGTGAAATAGCATTCTTTGCCATGAATAAACCAAGGTTAATCCATTTAATATTTCTATGGACCACATATTCTAGCTGGACTCCTTCTATTTTTAAAAAAGACTGTTTTAAAAGGTGACCAACGGTGTTTTATTCATTGTGCATTGTTTGTGAGTCAGTGATTTAATTTAACTTCACAAAAATTCAGAGAAGACCTATCATGAGCAATTTTATTCTGCCAGACTAAGGAGAAATAACAGTGGCAAACTCAAGAATTTTCAAGTTTTCCTTTTTGTTTTTTTTAATCATTCATAGTATAAAGAAGTAGTTACATATGAATTTTTTAAAGATTCTCTTTAACAGACAATATTCTAGAATAAAATTATTTGGTTAATAATGGTCAAGAGAATTATTATTTGTAATTTGTTTGATAAAATCATAAAAAACACTCTAGAAATAATAAATGACCCGATGTTAATTTTTCAACTTAATTGGGAGGGTTAATTCCTTAGCACCAATTTTTCAGTGAGTTGGAAGGTGATCTAATGTAGTGTAGTGGTGTGTGGCTTATTTGATGCAACCTATGCTAGCTGTATTAAAACTATCACACTCGGTCTACAGACTTCTTTGGCATCCAGATAATTGCTTAAAGAGATGACTTTAACTGAAATGCCTTCAGCATTAAGGTTTCTGGAGCCATCACTGAGGGACCTTTTATTCAGTTTCAACAGATCTTTATCGGGCACCTCCTATTGTTGCAGGCACTCCCCCTAACCTGGGGAAGGAGGTCCACGAGCCATGTTTTAGGGACCAGAAACTCAAACTGAAGAATGATTGGTCCGATGTCAGATAACTAACTAGTCAGTAGCACAGCCTGGGCTGGGAGCTGGTACGATACCTCAAGCCCTTCCTTCACCAAAGCTGTTCTTGGGATCACCATAGCATGCCACTGTACACCAACACTTGGTGACTACGAGAACGAGATTCTTGGAAGATAAATTTAAACCCTCTCTCCAGACAA